GTCTTAGCTTAAAAAAATATTCCTCCCATCTTACTAGCAAATTAGTCTTATTGTCCTTTATTGTTATTCAGTCAAGATAGTTTACAAATGAAACATATAAGTGTCACAGCAAGCTTTAGATGATTACACTATTTTATTATAAACATAGATATACGATAACGTGATATGACTGTGATATGATTAGTAAGGAAAAACGTTGTATTGTCATATATTACATTCCCACAGGATTCACTGATGATGGTGTAGTGAACAAGGACACAACTGAGGACAGCTAAATGTATTTGAACACAAAATTACAGAATGTCTTAGTACAATCTGAGAATCATACAGTGAATGCTTAATTAGTAAAATGTCAATCAATTATCTCAAACTTGACTATTCCTTTTGCAAATATCAATCAATCGTCTCAGACTTCATTGTTCCGGCATTTTCGAAATCAACTGCTTTCTGTTCCCGTTTTTTCTTTCTCAATCTTCTACTAAAATACATTCTATTCCTGACTATCGTTAAATACTACTCATATCGATATAAGTAGCACATACCGCAGTGGTAGCTTATAACAAAATTTGTGAATTTATGTCATAATTATAAATGGCATGCTTCATTTGAATGAGTAACTGAGTTCATTTACTGCCAGTTTTATTAAAACGCGAATATTTCAATACGTATCACTAAAGTAACATTTAAATTTAGAATGGCGAGTTTTTTATATTGTACTGTATTGCATTGTATAACCAATAATTGTTAACCCCGAGGTAGTTTAACTGAAGTTCAAGTAACAACCTATGAAGGATAACTTTGTTGAAACTTAGTTCTCTTAGACGTCAAGATTAATTTATCTCTCAAAATAATTACCAAGAAAAATTTCAAATAGAAGTGAACTATAACAATTTCTCCACATAAAACTAAAACCTGGTTTTATTAAAATTAAATTGGATAAGTTGTCGTCACTTGAACCTGGAGAACTACGAAAGCCATCATCCAAGAGATACAGGTTTTTTATTAACAGTTGCCTACGCAAAATACTGCGGATCCGTTGGCAGCAACAACCAACTGTGGGAGAGAACAAGCCAGATTCCAGTGGAGGAAGAAATCAGTAAGAAGCGCTGGAAGTGGATAGGACACACATTGAGGAAAGCACCTAACTGTGTCACAAGACAAGCCCTCACATGGAATCCTCAAGGCCGAGGAACAAGAGGAAGACCAAAGAACACATTACGCCGGGAAATGGAGATAGACATGAGAAAAATGAACAAGAATTGGATGGAACTAGAAAGGAAGGCCCATGACAGACTGGGTTGGAGAAGGCTGGTCGGCGGCCTATGCTCCATCGGGAGTAACAGGCGTAAGTAAGTTAGTTGTCGTCATTTGTATCAAAATGTAGTGTTTCCCGTAAGAATCTGGAAGTTGTATATTATATTACTAGTAAAGTTGTTTCACAAAGACAACTGACAAGTCTAAAAACTCGAAAGAAACAATTGTCAAAGAATTTCGTAGTTTTCAATGGTCTCCAAATTCATTTTCATTGTCTGAAAAAAAATGTATCTAATGAGATGAGAGGCAAATTCAAAACAACATAGATATAAACTAACAATATTGTTTTCGATTAGATCCTCATCGGGTTTACTCTAATATACACTAATGCATTTATATACATATACGAAATGATTAAACCAATCACGGTAGTTTATGAGTCAATGATGATAACAATGGAATAGATCACATAAATAAACATAATAAGTGAAAAGTACAAATTGATAGTGTGATGACAGGTGTACTGGTGTGGCGTGTGCTATTTATGTTGATATAAGTAGTATATGACGCAAATCAGGAATGTAATGTCTGACAGCAGAAGATGGGGAAGATCAAGAAAGGAAGAGCGGCAATAGAAAGCAATCAGTATGGAAATGCAAGAACAACGAAGTTCGAGACAGTTATTGAATATTTTGCAAATTAAGTATTATAGTATGGTTTTACTATTTTACCAAGTAACTCTGTAATTTTGTGCTAAATATAATTCGATTGTCTCCACTGGTTTTCGTGTTCACTACACTAGTTTTGATAAGAATAATAAAGGCTTGAATCAATGTTACGTAATTGAAAATAGGTCAGTGATTAGAAAAGATAAAGACACTGAAATAGCATTCCTAGAAAGATTATTAGATTACGTAATGAGAGGTGTTCAGATAATTGGACCGTGAAGCGTATATTTAAGAAAAGAAAAAGATGCCAGAGAATAAAGAAGTATGGAATTCTCAAACTGACATTAATAATTATTATCAGTCAATGTCATCTTGTACTGTTTAGTTCTAAATAATTCTTCAATTAAATGTTTAACTTCATTTCAACTAATACACATATCATCACACTATCGACTTGTAATCTAGTTCCACTGTTATCAATGACTCAAAAGTTGCCTTGATTTGGTTCACTAAGATCGTTATATGCATATAAATATTACTGTATATTAGAGTAAAACCTGATGAGGATCTAATCGAAAACAATATTGTTCACTTATTTCTATGTTGTTCTAAATTTTGGAGAAGCAAATTATTGTTTCCGTTGTTAAAAGATTTCAATTATCAGTATCGTGAGAACTCGATGATTTGAATCTATGTCTAATGAGAACACTATCGGTAACGATATTAAAAATTCACTATTTTTTCTTCTTATTATCATTATTACTTGACATACTACATGAGTATTCTTTCCATCAGTATGTTCTTATGATCATTCCTATCAATATAGTACTCATTTTTACATCTTATTACTTTATAAAACTTATCTATCACCCTCATATCAGGTACGATATTTTATTTAACCAATTCGTTCTTCATTTTCATGACCTAATTATATACTATTAATGATTAAAGTTTATTATTCTTGTCAGTTTATTTCACATAGAATAGATTAATAAAAGCATTTACTCTGTCCATTTGTTAATATATATATGTATATTATATAAGTATATTTTAACCTCCAAGTTGACTTTACGCTTCATCAACTGTAAACAAAGAGTACTAAAAACGTGATGTCATGAAAAGAAGAAAAAAATAATCATATTTCAACAACCATTTTATTTCTCTGAAAATATTGCTCCCTTTTCTTTTTTACTAAGGACTATTATTTTGACAAATTTATTGATTGATTGAAATCATGAGTCTATTTAAGCTAGACCACCATTGAAAATCTGGAAGCATTGGACGGCCGTTTCGTCTTATTGTCGAATTCTTAATCCATGTCGGGTAAGGACAGTTATTTACTTCAGTACAATGGAAGATGAACGCGCAATCTCGTGGATTGGTTAAGTTTAAACATTATTACCATTGGATACCGGCTCAGTGGTTCAGTAGGTTAAGCGTTCGCGCTGCGGAGTCCCCCAATTGGACGAAATGGCCGTCTGTTGCTTCCAGGTTTTCAATGGTGGCCTAACATTAATCGGTTCATGATCTCAATGATCTCCACAACCCCTGTACTGATAATCAAATAATTAAAAACAAATGAATATTTTGAATTAAAATAATTTTCTTCAAATGAACTTTTTTGTTAGAATGAGATGATAAGTTTATACATTGAAAATGATGAGTAAAACTAATTATTTTTAAACAAAAATCAGAACCAAAATTCTTATCAATTAAACGAGGAAATAAAATAAACAAATAAATAAATAGACAAATACTTTGATTATAACAAATAACACTTAGATAATATACCTTTGTGAGCCAAGGTAATTTTACATTGGTTTTCAGCAGAACCAGACACCATTCGGACTTTCACGTGACAACCCAAACAGTAAAGCTCAACCCAGTTTAGCAGGGGAACCAGACACCGTATAGGCTTTAACGCTACAGTCTGAATAGTACAGCTCAATTTTGTGGCGCAACCACACAGGTACCAAGCACTCTGGTGGACCATATAACAAATAAACCATCATAAAAACAACAACAACAACAAATTATCTCAATTTTAAAATGAAAACATCGAAGTTTTTTCTCAAAAATGCTCTTTTTCTTTTTTGCTTCTTCTTTTTTTTCAACTTTTCCCTTTAATGATCAAGATATATAATTAAAAGAAAATTAATTTGATTGGAATGACGCAGTAATAATAATAATAATCGAATGGTAAATAATGTTCATTTAAAATCCCGCTTCATTTTGTTTAAAATTTAATTATTCCAATATTATGATTTGTTTGAATAATTATAATCATATATCCTTATTCATATAATCAATTTATTGATTTTTTTTTATTAAGATCATAAATCAATCAATATTAGATCAACATTTAAAACAGAGAAACAAAACAACCTGGAAATATTGATTAGCCATTTCATTTCAATATAGAACTCGTGAATCTCATATTTTCAAACATGATCTAACATTGATCGATTCATGATCCAAATTTTAAAAAAATGCTTTGCCAATTTTCACAATCTGATCTTACTAAAGATCAATTTTAATGAATAAATCTTGAATATTCATTTATGAATGATGAAAATGGAAATAGAAATTTTTTAAATTATGAAAGATAATTCATTTATAGATTGTTTTCATTCAATTTCTTCTCATTTCATTAAATGATTATGATATTCATTTGAATAATTATTTCATTCATTGATAAAAATATAATTGAATCATTTTTTAATCTGTTTTAATTTATACGTATCATTACTATGATTTGAATTGATAATTCTAAATAAATTGAGCATAAAAATTCATCATTTTTTTGGTAAATATTTCAATAAGTAGAAAAAATTACATTTTCTGATGTTTCGTAACTTAGTATAAGTGACTTCTTCAAAGTAAATAAACAACCAAATCATAATTCATACAATTTTAAAGAGTAAACATTAAACAATACAAGAATATATATTATCTTTATGTTTTTTTATATTTCTTCTCTGAAGAAGTGGCTTACGTTGAGTTACGAAACATCAGATCATTTATCATTTTTCCTACTCACCGTAATATTTACAAATATATATATATAGATTCATTGATTTATATATTTTCTTGTTTTATTAATTGTTCATTTAATTTCATTTGATCAATATCATATTGATTAGGATCATAATTAGAATTAATAATTTGATTATTAAATTTTAAATCATCATTATTTATTGATTTTATATCATTCATATATTTTTTATGATTAAATTTTTTATTCAGATTAAATTTTAAATTAGAATTTATTGATTTCCAATTATTTGATTGAATGAATTTTTTTATAATTTTATCATTGATTAATAATGAATTATTATTATTATTATTATTATTGAATATTGAATCAATAAAATTTGAATTACAATTTAATTGATTTTTATATTGATTTTTAATTTGATTATTTAATTTCATATTTTTCCATTTATTCCAATAATTATAATAATAATAATGATAATAATAATAAGAAGATGAAGATGGAGATGATGATGAGGATGAGGATGATGATGATTTGAATGTATTAAACTTTGGTAAATCTTTTTTTAATATTCTTGTCCATAATTTTGTTAAATTATTTTTACCTGGTTTACGTATTAATGAAAAATATTTAATATTATCATTATGACGTGATCGTATATGTAATTTTAATGATGATCCTTGAGTGAATGTTACACCACAAGCAGAACATGAATAAGGTTTATCACCTATTTTTAACAAAAAACGAAGAGAAACAAAACAGAAGAATGAAAATGAGAAATGTTATTTCTTTTTTAAATATAAAAAAGTGATAATACTATCAGAAGGGGGAGGGGTTGTGGATATTATAGTAATTTTAATAGTTGAGATCACGAGTCATTTGAAGCTAGATCACCATGGAAAATTTGGAAGCACAGGACGACCCGGTTGAACTTCACTGAGAGATAGTAACTCACTGAAGACATTAGTAAACGGTGGAATAATTTCGTGGATTGGTTGAAGTTAGATGGTGGTTAGAAGGTAGTCGACAGGAAACCCTCATATTGCGACATGGTCGATAGTATTCGATCTGCACTAATAAGGACTAGATACGCAATCAATTATGATTACATCTCAGTACAACACGAGGTTGGTAGCGGCTCGGATAGCTCAGTGGTAACGTCTCTGACTATGAAGCTGGATGACACGAGATCGAGTCCGCCGGGTAGCACCAGTTCCCTCCAGATTACAGGTATACCTTGCTGACGAGTGCCTGTTGACTACCTCAAACCACCATCTAAACTCAATATGTAGTGCCCGCAGTGTCGAGTTAGCTAGACTGGTGGCCACATTGTAACATGGTCGATAGCATTCGATCTACACTAATGAGGACTAAACACGCAATCACTTGTGCTTGAAGTTAGACATTAAACCCATTGGATACCGACTCAGTGGTCTAGAGATTGAGCGCTCCCACGGGAGACTAATAGGTCCCGTGTTTGAATCTCACGAGGTAGGGTCGTGGATGCGCACTGCTGAGGAGTCCCAACATAGGACGAAACGGCCATTCAGTGCTTCTAGGTTTTCCATAGTGGTCTAGCTTCGATTGACTCATGATCTCAGCTATTAAAATGGTAATACTTTTTGTTGACCTTAATAATTAAATACGTTTAACTATCAATTTTATATGAAATTAAATTTAATTAGATGAATAGTTTTGATGGAGATTACTTTAAAGCTAGTAAGACATGAGTATTTGTTTTGTCTAACTTTAAGATTCTTCAACAGTGAGGAATCACTGATTGATGAAAAACATTTAGGTCTAGTGATGAATAAGATAACATTGAACAATTGTGTTAGTTTTCAGAAGTCTATATGATCAATTACAATCAATGCATAATATTGTATAATATTCATCTTATACCACCAATGATCTTTGTCTTACTTTCAACACAGTTTAACTCACAATTAATTGATCACTGTGTAGTGATCATTGACATGTTTGACTAGCCCTTTAATGCTAATCCCATTTAATTGATCAAACTGCAATATGGCATTGTAACTTGAAAGCACATAAAGTATGCTGACATATTAAGTGGTTTGAAATTGTTAGCATGATACCCAACAAGGTGCATCATTTCTTTTTAAACTGTAGGTAAACTTTTACAAGAATATGTAAATTAATACTAAACTTACCACTGAAGTTTCCTACTAACTATCTTCGAGTGTTTGACAAGATCGAATTCAATCTGTCACAATATTTCATATGCGATAAAAATTAACTTCAAAACAGAAATGAATTAAAAATGAATCTCAAAACTACCAAATAAAAAACAGTTACACAATATAACTGATTTATTTTTTGATTGTCGATTGTCGATAAACATAGATTTATTCTCAACGTTTGAGATCATGAGTTAATTGAAGCTAGATTATCATGAAAAAACATGGAAACATTGGATGGCCGTTTCGTCCTATGTTGGGACTCCTCAGCAGTGCGCATCCACGACCTTACCCCGTGAGATTCAAACACGGGACCTATTAGTCTCCCGCGGGAGAGCTCAATCTCTAGACCACTTAGTCGGCAGCCGATGGTGTTAATGTCTACCTTCAACCAATCCACAAAATTAAGCGACATATTCACCATTGTCTTCATTAAGTTACTATAATATCCACAAAAACCTTTCTGATATTTATTTATTATTCACTGATTCTAGCAAAACTAGTAAATTCCTTAATATTATCATTTAACTATCACGAATAATGAAAAGAAATTTAAAACAAAACAAAATGATAAAAGAACAGAGATAAATGAACTACACAAACAAGAGAGTGAGAGGTCAGATATTACTACGAGAGAAAAGAACAACTTCAAAGATATTTTATACGGAAATCCGTATACGTCAGTTTTCACTTCGAATATATACATATATATCACTTTAATTGTTTTCTATTCGTTTCCTTTAAAGGTACAAATAAAATAAACAATAATAGGTCATATTATTAGAAGAGAGTATACATTAATGTTTTATTAGTAAGCAAAGAAGGTAAATCTTTATTTATTTGTGATACCCTTTTATGAAAATCATTATTATTACTATCGTTATTTACTTATATCTATGACAGCGATAATGAAAATGAATAAGAGAAGAATAAAGAATACTTGAATAAATCACTCATTTTTACCAATAAATAACTTTGATAATCAATGAATTGTTATCAGAATGGGGGTTTGTGGAAACCATAGTAACTGTGATAGTTGAATTCATGAGTCAATTTAAGCTAGATCACCATGAATAAACCTAGAACCACTAGACAGACGTTTCATTCTGGTATAAGACTCCTCATCTGTGTGCACCCACGATGCCACACGCGGGACTCAAACTCAGGACCTTCAGTTTCGCACGCGAACGAATGAACTTTAGACCAATGAGCCAAACGGCATCCAATGGTGTTAATGTCTAACTTCAACCAATCTACAATATTCAGTAAACCGTCTACAATTGTCTCCGCCGGTCACGACTTCTCACCAGAACTCCAGGGAATACATCTTGAAGCCGTGACTAGTGGAGTTTAACCGTATTTGCTGTGACGCAGTTACTGAAGACAATGATGGACAGTCGCGCACTATCATGCATTAGTTGAAGCTAGAAACCAACCCAATTGGATGCCAGTTCAGTAGTCTACAAGTTAAACGTTCACGTGAGAAACCAAAAGTCTTTGGTTGGAGTTCTTTTAGTGTGGGATCATGGATGAGCACTGATGAGGAGTTTCATACTAGAACGAAACGGTCGCCCAGTAATTCCAGGTTTTCACTGATGTTCTAGCAACAAGTGACTGATGAATTCAACCACTAAATCAACGAATTGCTTATAGGATTTTATTCTACTCATAGTTATTCTTTTTGAATTATGATGACGCTGAAGAAATTAGCTACATAGAAGAGGGATCTAGTAAAATTATATTAAAAGTAAGTAATTATTATTATTATTATTATTATTATTATTATTATTATTAAAATCTAATATATATTAATGTGTCTTTCTTAATGATTTATTCTTTACACAGACCATAATACAATGGATTACAATGACGAATTTGTTTCCTCAATATATGACAACCATCCAATGCTTCCATGTTTTCTATGGTGGTCTAATTTCAATTGACTCATGAAGTTAACTATTAGAAATTACTATAATCTCCACAAACCCACCACCACCACCACCACCACCATCACCACCACTCTCTAAATATATAACTATTTTTAATGTAATAAAATTTATTAATTTGAAACATACACTTAAAAAAGAAAATGAATTATGGTTATCGAATAGAGACTACGAATGTATGAACAATAATAAGGATAATGATAATCATACTGGCTTACTGGTAAACTTTCCAACATAATACTAATATGTTATTTATCACTTACTTGACTATTGAGTAGTAATATTCACAATTGAATGTATTGCCCGTTTTTTATTTACCATTGCTATTACTAGTATACACATATATGCATTGTCTTATCAAATATAGACATATACAGATAGAAGTCAACTTGACTTGACATCAATGAACAAAATGGTGTTTTTCCAAGCTCAGTTAATAACAACAACAACAACAAAAGAAAATAGATTAATATGCTACAAGAAAATATTTTAAAATTAAGTCATTATATTGGATGAGATGGTAAACTTTAAAAAGGATAGAAGGAATTAAATAATCGTTTATTCATGATCATAAAAGTCAATACTACTACTACTACTACTACTACTACTACTACTAATAATAATAATAATAATAATAATAATAATAATAATAATAATAATAATAATAATAAGAAGAAGAAGAAGAAGAAGGAGAAGAGGGAGTAAACAATTATTGTGTAAATAAAGAAATAAATAAACAGAACGTTAAAGTAATTTTTGTGTGTGTGTGTTGTTCCTGTATATCCAATCCCTTTCTTTCAGCCATATAGATAATATTACATAAATCTTTATGAGTCATGAAGTATTCCAAGAATATAGAAGATATTTGAGTAGGAAAAAAGTTATCAAACGTTATTTACAGATAAACTTCATATTAAAACTGTCTACATTATTTCACATCGATTCAGGTTGAAGAACATTCTTTAGTATAGTGCTGAACAGGTACTACATACCTGTTAGGTTTGGTTATGGTGTTTCTAAAAGTATTCCAAGATATTTCATCTACTTAATGTTTAAATTTAAATCATTCTAAGCATTAAAGATGAATGAATCCAAAGTTGTAGTCTGTCTAAGATTTTAATACTGAGTCATAGTAACAGGAGAATGATCTATTTTCAAGAGTACATATTAGATATTATGACCACTGAAGCCTCAATAGCTAGATGGTAACTTTTAAAATTGTGAAGCTGTGATTTTTGATGAAATTACATAGATAGCATGAATTGTTTAAGTGTTACTGATCTATTTTGCTGACGACTGTTGTGTAGCATGAAACCTAGACCAAACAGGGTTTTCTCCTGAATACTTTCAATCATTTAACATTTTCAATAGGAAAAGTACATTGGTAATTGACAGATGTTTGTTTTCAGCCAGTTTCTCATATATATATGTATCTTCTGCAACTTGTGAAACGTACCTCAAAACCTCTATATTTCACCTTTTTGTATCTATAAAGTTTCATCTAATGATGACTTTTTTTATGAGTAACAGATTAAATGGGACAATATCGTATGTAAATCATGTAAATCTGCTTCATTTTTGCAGTATTCAATAATGGTGACATGTTTTAACATTTATAGAAAGAAACATAGATAAATAATGCGGTAAACAGACATTATAATGATATTAGGTGGAAGAAGGTAGTTACCAGAAAACTCTCTTACGTTTGTGTTCTATCCCCGTTGTCATTCGTCATTAAAATGTATTTATAATGCTTTTTATGCTTTGAACTCACTTTACGCAATGTTTCAGTCAGTGCCACTATCACTAAACTAATTGCAAGATTTAAACAGCTGGAATATAGACGTTATATTTATATATAAGATGGTTTTGATGGTGAGACTATAATTTATGGACGACGTTTGAGTAACGTCCCAGTGACCGTGAAAGTGTCCACCTAATAACTAGGACCAAATGAAGGTTATAAACCTGTATGAGGTATTAGAATTATGATTTACAGTTAGTGGTTAAGGTTAAAAATTAGATTTAGAGTTTTCATCACATTAGCTAAGATGCCAAAATAATATTTTACCAAATGAATGAATGAATTTCGTGCCAAAATCTAAGACGTGTTATCGTTTACTTGATTGATTCGCCCATAAATTATAGTTTCTGATGGATTTCTGTTCACTGAGCTGTATAGTTTGGTAGTGGAGCTTTCATCGCTCTTCTGAACAACATCATAAGCACAAACTTCTACTAGATAAAAGCTCCACGACCAAATCATCCAGCTCAGAGAACGAAACTCCGTCAAAATAATTCATCCCATTGGCAGTTCATTAGAGGTTTGTATCTTACACTTGTTGGTAGAACATGCTAACGAAGACAGTCTTAGAGAAACTACAGTTGTTCTCAAGTGGACTTCTACCTGAAGTTTGTGCTGATGATGTCATTCAGAAGAACTATGTAAGTTTCAAGACTAAACCATTCAGCTCAAAGAACAAAACTACATTAAAATCCTTCACATGAGCTATTAATCTTCTCCACCATCTCATTAATTATAGTCTTACCATATTCATTAACATAATCTAGTGTTGACATTTAGTTCATACCTTAAAGATTCCGTTTCAAATGTTTTTTTACTTAAGTTTTACATCATATATACATGTAATACCTTAAAATCTACATAAATCATATTTCATATTCATTATAAACGAACTCATGAAGAAACAACGATTATTTCAAATGACAACAAATTGTCGGTTTCGTCTTCTTCTTCTTTCATTTAAAAGTAAACAGAAAACATACATAGAGAAATTAATGAATTTATGATAGATGTATATTTTTTTCAATTTTCATTTTAGTCAAGTGTAAATTAAATAGATACATAATAAATTGTCATTAATTTTGGGTTGTTTAGTTGGTTGCTTGGTCGGTTGTTTGATTTCAATATTCAATAATCATTCAATTGAATGAGTTCATCATTCACTTGAATGAAATACTAGTTAATTAGGTTCTAATTCCAAAAAAAACAAAGTGAGGTAGATACAAATTATGGATTTCTATTGAAAAATATATTATGAATTTCAACTGAATAAATGGATTATGTACTCAGTTAATTAATTTGTATATCCATTAGTTACATTTAGATGAATAGAATTTGATAGGGGGTGGGGAGGGGAGAGGAGAGGAGGGGAGGGAAGGGGAAGGGAAGGAGAAAAAGTGAGATAATAAATGTCTATTTTTGATTCTATTATTAAACTATAAAGTTTAAAGAAGATCAACTAATCATTGTAAATTTTATGTTTGTTTGTGATTTCTTTAGTGGAAAATTTTTATAATTAAAACTGACAAAATATGCTTTAATAATGAACACTTATCAATTTAATATCAGAATGGGTTTTATGGATAATATAGTGACCAATGAAATTCAACCGGGTCTGTTGTAAGATAGTAACGCACTGAATACAATGATGGACGGTGGTGCAATTTCATGGATTGGTTGAAGTTATACATTAACACCGTTGGGTGGCAGCTTAGTGGTCTAGTGGTTGAGCGTTCGCGCGTGAAAGCGATAAGTTCTGGGTTCGGATCTCGCGAGGCGGGGTTGTAGTTGCGCACCGATGGGGAGTTCTATGCTAGGATGAAACAAACGCTCAGTGTTTCCAGGTTTTCATGATGGTTTAGCTTCAAGCGAATCATGATCTCAATTATTAAAACTTATCCATTTGATTAATATAGAGTTAAAAGAATTCATGACAATGCAACAGTTGGAGATGAGCTTCAGTAAGAAAAATAAAAGCCGAAATGATAGTGGGAATAGACTGTGTTTTTCACCATTTATTATTCGGTTTGAAATCACTCTGATTTTACTGAATATAATCTCTATCACAAATTACTGAATTATTTAATTAAACAAGGTTCACTCTACAAAACAGACTGTTATCAGAATGAGGGTTTGTGAAGATTTAGTAATTTTTAATAGTTGAATTCATGAATTGATTTAAGCTGGATCACCATTGAAAACCTGCGCAATGTTTAGGAGTCCCACAATAAAATGAAATGGCCATTCGCTGTTCCCAGGTTTTTAATTGTGATGTAGCTTAAATTGAATTATAAATTCAACTATTAAAAAACAGACTACTCTAAATGCCGGAAAAATGTAAACGTGATACATTACAGTAGTTGTCAAAAGAATATAACATATAGATGCTTTACTGCATTTCACCTATAGTATACATTATATACTTAAAAAGTCATAAGCATAGGGCTGACTTAAAAAATTCCAGTTAACAATCGAATCTAGCTAGGCGGGATTGTGGATCCGCACTTCTGAGGAGTCGCACAATAGAATGAAATTGCCGTCCAGTGCTTCCAGGTTTTTCATGTTAGTCTAGCTTCAATTGACTCATGATCTCGACTATTGAAATAAATATTTATTATTCAATGTTGATAGGATATTTTTAAATGTGTTTATTTTTGAACATTTCGCTTTGCGTCCTCTAAACTTCGTAAACAACACCTCCGCCGCAAGAAGGCAATGAGTAGGACTTCTCTGGCAGGGGTTGTATTCATGTGGCCATGTAAGAGCATTTAGAGAGAGAGAGATGGCTGGCTGTCTTTGCTCTTGGTCGTACCAGGGCATATGAGGGCTTGAATTGAGATGTCTAGCTGGTTTATCTGACACCATTAGTTACTGAGACATTGGCTTAGTAACTAAGTAAATTTGATAAGTCGTAGTCTCTACCCAGTAAGTCATGGTTGACAGTAACTAACTAACTTGTTTGCTAGGCACAATACTTATTATTAATTGTAAGCATTTATTTTCTCCTATTACAAGTATTCGAAGCTAAAACCGATCAATCACTGTGTTTTGTTTATGCTGCTTTATGAGAATGTCCAAATTCTGTCATAATTGTCACCATTAGTCAAATAAAAACGATTAGAACTGTTGGTAGTGGGATTTGTAGCCTGATTTTTATGTAAAATTGAAAGTATGTAACAATGGAATATATTTTAAGATTCACAGTATTCTGATGCGATACAAATTTAGTATCATATAAATATATATTCTTACAGATTTTAAGTGACAAACTGATTTTAGTTAGACGTCTGAAAACATAGAATCCCTGGGAGGCTGTTTAACTAAGTATGGGGATTTTCAACAGTCCTCACCCATGGCTTTACACTTGGGGCTCGAACTCAGGACTGGTCTCGTACTCGTACGCTTAACCTCTAGATTACTATGTCTGCATTCAGCGGTGTGAATGTATAACTTTAATTAATCTACGAAATTTAGCAGTCGTCAATATATATTCGTTCTGTGTGTATTTTATTCTAAATTATATATTAACTAACAAGTTGTACAAACATCTTGCAACACTTTATGTATGACGATCTGAATTTAAAATATCCATCCAAAAGTATGATTGATCCAAATAATAAGAACTGTAAAAATCATAAGTCTTAATTATTACATTGTTATCTTCCTTTATTAAGTGGACAGTTGTTTCCAGCTTTTATTTAGTAGACCATTACATCTTTTTACTTTTAAAACTATTACACAACGTAAGCTCTTGATGATCTTTGACTACTATTATTATTATTATTATTATTATTATTATTATTATTAAATGTTGCGACACCGCTTTCTTATTCAATGGCTAAAAGCTTTAATTACATTAAAATAAAACCCTTCCATGTATAAACTATTATAAGTGTTACTGGAAATCTGTTGATAATCATGACTATATTATGCAACACCATTTCATTTTAAGCTTTCAGTATCTATCCATCATCTTTGATAAAGTTTTTCTACCAAATTAGCTTCTACAAATTTCATTTCATTCACTGTATACTAGATGGGTAGATTTTTATTGAAATTATGAATTCATCTAAGTTAAACCACCGTTGAAAACCTGGAAGTACTGAACATTATTTTTGTCCTAGTGTGAAATTACTTGATAGTGCTCGTCTACAACCACGCACGTGGGAATCGAGCTCCCTGTCTGAAGTCTCCCACGCTAATGCTCAATTTCCGTAGACCGCTGAATTGGTCTTCGACGGTGTTGATGCTTAACTTCGATCAATCCACTTCACATTGTCTTTGATGGGTAACTGCCTCAAATCTGACATAAATTTGCTCCACTAACCATGACGTCTCCTCTCGAAGCTAGACTGTGGCGAGCGCATGACAATTGTCAATAAGGGGTTGTTGAAATTTTTTAATTTGATTGGAATCATGAATGGATTTAAGATGTATGTATTCCAACTACAATCTTCCCTTATTTCTTCATAGGATAGACAATTAGGAAATCATTTCGATAACTACATTGTCTCCGTTGGAGTTTTCGAGTATTTATCGTATCACTATGGTTTGGAAACGTTTTTTGTAAGTACACATATACAATTTGCGCTCATAATTATTTAGTTCAAACAAATCTTAAACATGATGATTTCCTTAAAATACAAACACATGGCTCAAATGTTCAAGGAAAATAATCTCAATAACCGAACAGATATTACATCTACTAACTTGATTTTAATCTAATATATGGATATGAATTAGAGTACTATAGTACTTAGATTTCCTGGTTCCTATTATATCTGTATGTTGTTGAAATCACTTTAATTATGATATAAAATTGGTTTCGTATAACTTGATAACATTTAATGGTTGAACTCATAGGTCGATTGAAGCCAGACCATCATGGAAAACCTGGAGGCACTGGACGGCAGTTGTGTTCTATTATGAGACTCATCAGTAATTTGCATCCATGATCCCGCCTCGCGAGACTCGAATTCAGGACCTAACCTGTCGACCACTAAGCCGCCACTCAGCGGTGTTAGTGTCTAACTTCAACAAATCCACGAAATTGCACCACTGTCTACCATTGTCATCAGTGAGTTACTATCTCACAACAGAACCAGTTGAACTCTATTGGTCACTGCTTCTCGTTAAAACTCCAGGAAATACCTCTTGAAGTCAGTCACTAGTGAGCATATGATGATTATAATCACAAAAGAGTTTTATCAAATTTATCAAATTGACAATATTTACACATATTGAAAATATGATTATGTAATAAATATATAATTATCAGAATGGGTTTTGTGGAGATTTTTTAGAAATTTAACCGGTTGAAATCATGAGTCAATTGAAGCTAGACCACCATGGAAAACCTGGAAATACTGGACGGCCGTTTCGTCCTATTGTGGGACTCCTCAGCAATATGCATCCTCGATCCCTTCCCCCGCGAGATTCGAACCCAGGACCTATCAGTCTCGCGCCAGGCGCTTAACCAACTAGATCACTGAACCGGACGACATCCAACGGTGTTAATGTCTTCCAGGTTTTCCATGGTGGTCTAGATTCAATTGACTCATGATTTTAACCAATGAAATATATATAATTAAATTAGTTACTAACCTGTATGTGTTCTAATATGTACATACATATTACTATAATGTCTTGTTGTATAATTACATAATTTACATTTTAATAATGATTCACCTGTACTAGTTGCATGAGTTTTTTGTAAATGTCTTAACAAATTTTTTTCAAATCGAAAACATTTATGACATAATGGACATAACATATT